TACTTTTCATTTTCTCCAAATATCTCATGCATTTTCAAAGTTCTGTATTCTTCTAACATAAATATTAAAAAGTATATACTGCCTAAATTCTTTACTTTTACTCTGGCTTATCAAATAAATAAACAAAACTTTATACCTGACTTCTTGGTTCATCAGCAATCAATATATTGTCTGAACAATAAATACAAACATCCAATCACTGAATGATATGACAAGAACCTATTGATGAAGATCTTAAATTGCTCTTCTTCACAGCTGTTGATAATTGATTTTCATACTTACATTTATGTTTGTAAAGAAGAGGAGATCATCAAAATCTACTGAATATATATGAATGTAAAATCAAACTCATCATAAACCTACTTGAAGATTTTCCTCCAACAATGCTGACTTTATACCTTAATACCGGTATACACTGAACCAAACTTCTAAGTGTTCACCTAACATTTTTAAAGTTTTAAAGAACAAATGCAAACAAAAAATAATTTCTTTAATTCTTGGTTAATGATGCATATTTAAGTTCGATGTTGCGTAAATTTCGTGTAAGTATCTCGTTAGAATTTTAAGCAGAATGTCAAGGAAATGATGTACCTTCAAAATGAAAATTCACACAAAAAAATTCCCAATGGAGTAAGACCCACTACTCGCTATAATTACTACAAGACAATCTTTATTGTCGGATACCATGTACCCTTGAATAGGAGATTGACCAATCCGCTGCCACCCCTGCATGTACTGCATAGATCTTTCCAAACCATTGAAATTGTTAGGAAAAAGGGGGGGGGGGTTGACATTTCTTTTAAAATCCCAAATGTGTTTAATAGGATTCTGATCCGGGAATTTGACACTGTATCGTCACACAAAAGCCTTTTGGTCAATATCTTTGGGTGTTTAGCTCGTAAGTGCACCGCTTTAAGGGTAATTCAAACTGCTTGAGTTGATATAAGACTGCCACGAGCACCAATTTCTTATCATTTTCGTACGATTGAAATGGTTTGTTTCCATGTTTCTAAGATTTTCTCGGGACACTTTAACATCTTTTTAACCTAGTGTGACGCGAAATTTTCTCCTCAGAAGAAGATCAAGGCCACTTCCGGTCTAGTTTAATTTTGTCAAAAACTTTCAAATTTGATAAATTGGAGATGAAAAATGAGCACAGCCTATAGAAAAATGTGTTTAAATGGGTTTTGATACTGTTTGATAATTTTTAAAAGTAATAACAAGTACAATTAAGCATTAAAATAAACGTGAGTAAAACGTGGAGCAAAGATGTTCCAGATATGAACATTCCAACGGCTCTCCCTTCTATCTCAATGGTCATTTTGCCAATGTTTTGTGTTTTTTAGTAAAACCAGGTTTTAAAATTTGATAATGATCATAAAAAGATGCTTATTTCACGAAACACGTGCCGTAAAGTACAGATTTATTGTTTTTAAGCTTCGTCACGGAACATTGGTTTTCATCGGTGATATTGAATTTTCTTTCTACAATTGTTGAGAAGACTCATTTGTTGTAATAATTTGAAAATATCATACCATTCGATAAAGTAGTTTTTAAATAAATACATTTATTAAAGTGAACACTTAGAAGTTTTGTTAAGTGTAATATGACCCTGAATTTAACATACTTAATTACATGTACCTATTTAAACAATAAACATCAATATCTAGGGACTCATGTCTATAAATACTATGAAATAAAAACAACAATTTAAAATATATGCACCACTGCTACATGTAGCTTGAGGACATGGATCAAAAATTAGAAAGGAAATGTAAAATAAATATCTTTAGCTACTTTTAAAATTATCTACAGTCCAAGTTATAAGAAAATCAGGGTGACTTCAAATGGTAAAACAACAGGGCAATTATAAATTCTCTACCTACAACAATGAGACAACATGATGCAGCATCTAATAATTACAACTAGTGAATAAAAGAGCCAATCATACAGCAGCTAAGTGCAACTGCTAAATCAATGAACCAATCATACAGCAGCTAAGTACAACTGCTAAATCAATGAACCAATCATACAGCAGCAAACATACAGCCACTAACTAATACAATTAATGAATAAAAGAGCCAATCATACAGCAGCCTAGTACAATTACTAAATCATTGAACCAATCATATAGCTAATTATAGAAAAATATAACCAAATATATTAATGATAAGTGAGAAAATGTCAAACATTTTTTTGATATTTCATGAAAACAAATTCAAAAACATATTTATCTTGACCTTCAAACTTTCAATTTCACATTAATTTCCAATATTTACAATGGAAGATTAAGTATTCTATAGTGGTACTTTCAAGGATTTAATCTGCATATGAAGATGTATGAAGTAATTATGGAACAAAAAAAAACAAACAGAAAAACATGAAAGAGAGAAATTCAGATAACAGAATAGGTAACATGAGGAACTATAATTACACAGGTGAATTTCTCTTCCTAGTACTTATGTAATTTTATACGTGGATTTTGATTACTGAAACAAAGTTGAAGGTTGTCAGAAGGTTAAGGTCACACAGAATATGTAGAAATTTGACTTCAGAATAAGATGATGAAAAATTCTATTACCCTTTTCCAATTTACATGTTTATCTTAATTTACAAAGAATTGTTAAAGTAAGATACAGTTTAAAGGTAAGTCAAGCTCCAAAATATAGCACAGTTAATTAACTTTTTTATGACATATTAACACATGTATATGATTTTAAAAAAAAAGAAAAAGAAATGTGACTCTATTGAATGGTCATTGGCACTGCAAACAAATTGCATGTCTCAGTCAAAAATAAAACATGGTTGTTCTAAATCCTAATGGACAAAAACTGTAAAATGAGATAAAACTTGGGACAAAAAAAAGAACACAAAGCAATGCTTTAAATAGAGCATGCAGAGCATTGGAAATTCTAGGTGGAATCAGATTCCTAAAAGAAGTAAGCCTCCCCTGTGGGATGATAACACAATTCACAATCTCAAAGTTGATCATAATACTGAAATTGGTGAATTTGGTACATGTTATGTTATGGATTCCAGAGAACAAGTTGAAAATGTTCAAATGTTTATCAAGTTACAACAATATCTATGGCACAAACAAGAAATATGGCAACAAACAAAACAAAACAGATGGCAATATTTCACCTTACCAACTAAGATGAATAAAAATACATGTAAATCTTTCTTTTCTTTTTTTTTTTGGTATAACATATAACAGTAAACTGAAAAATTAAATTTTCATTTAAGGATACTTTTAAGTTAAAAAAAATAAAAGTTTCTTTTAACATGTTTGATTCTTCAAAACATTCAAATGATTAAAAAAAACTCCCTATCTTTTTTTTTAACCTTAATGTAAAAGTATAAAATCTGAAAAAAATAAAACAATAAAATTGTCAAAGCTGTCCATTATTTTGTGACTCCATATATGGCACTGCTGTTTCCTTGACAAAACAGATAAGCATACCCTTCAGTTATGAACAACCGTGTCCAAAGTATTATCCAGGTTGAGCTTACTTACAAGGAAGCAGATATTTTATTTTTTGCTTAGAAGTATTAAAAGGACATGCACTGTAGCACATTTGCAAAACTTCTTTTTTTTTTGCAGTTATTATTTTAATTCTAAGTGAAATATAGAACACATTCAATGACAGACTTCAACTTAGATGAAAATTCTTACTACACAATGACATCACTTTCAATCTATTCTTACATTAAATACTGAAAAAACATTGGCATGGGCATGATTTTTGTTGATATTTAGTTTTACTCCTATTTAATATGCTATGATCACTGCTAACAAGCCTGACACTGACAATGATGTTCTGTTAATTTTGCTTTCTTTCATTTCTATTTTGACTTTTTTGGGTAAAATTTCAAAACCTTTTTTATTGACAGTATGTGGATAAATTATTGGATTTCTAACTACTTTAAATAACATGGCAAAATTTCCTTAGATCATGGAAGTACCAGCATGCATGGCCATAAAACATGAACCAAAATGGTTATATCTTTAGAAAACACACATCTCTTGACAGTTTTATCATAATATATCAGTGTGAAACCCTCTTGTGTGTAAGTCATTTAATTCTAGTACTACCATTACTACCAAAACTGAAGATTTAAACCATTAAATCTGTATCCCTGTCCTTTTAAAAATACTTAAGGTTAAGCAAACTGTGCACATAGTGGCTATACATCCTTCCTTCCTCATAAGTCAGGGTAGCTTAATTGTCTAGCGAGTCTCTGTCGAAAGGCCTCTTTGTTTTTGGAAACTCCATTCATTGTTTTTTCAGACAAATGGTTGCTACATCCTTCTTTCCTCATAAGTCAGGGTAGCTTAATTGTCTAGCGAGTCTCTTTCGAAAGGCCTCTTTGTTTCTGGAAACTCCATTCATTGTTTTTTCAGACAAACGGTTGCTACATCCTTCTTTCCTCATAAGTCAGGGTAGCTTAATTGTCTAGCGAGTCTCTTTCGAAAGGCCTCTTTGTTTCTGGAAACTCCATTCATTGTTTTTTCAGACAAACGGTTGCTACATCCTTCTTTCCTCATAAGTCAGGGTAGCTTAATTGTCTAGCGAGTCTCTGTCGAAAGGCCTCTTTGTTTTTGGAAACTCCATTCAATGTTTTTTCAGACAAACGCTTGCTACATCCTTCTTTCCTCATAAGTCAGGGTAGCTTAATTGTCTAGCGAGTCTCTTTCGAAAGGCCTCTTTGTTTGTGGAAACTCCATTCATTGTTTTCTCAGACAAACGGTTGCTACATCCTTCTTTCCTCATAAGTCAGGGTAGCTTAATTGTCTAGCGAGTCTCTTTCGAAAGGTCTCTTTGTTTCTGGAAACTCCATTCATTGTTTTTTCAGACAAACGGTTGCTACATCCTTCTTTCCTCATAAGTCAGGGTAGCTTAATTGTCTAGCGAGTCTCTTTCGAAAGGCCTCTTTGTTTGTGGAAACTCCATTCATTGTTTTCTCAGACAAACGGTTGCTACATCCTTCTTTCCTCATAAGTCAGGGTAGCTTAATTGTCTAGCGAGTCTCTTTCGAAAGGCCTCTTTGTTTCTGGAAACTCCATTTATTGTTTTTTCAGACAAACCGCTGCCGGAAACTCCATTCATTGTTTTTTCAGACAAACGGTTGCCACTGTCACTGTTCTTGATGACATGGTCTTCTTTCTTTTGATGATTCCGTCTCTTGTAGAAAGGCAAGGAATATTTTTTGGCAAGCTAATTAAAACAAAAAAAAACAAACAAGAAAATTAAATTTAAAGTACTATATACAGATATAGTCAAACCTTGTTTTCAACTGATTTCAACATATTATCAATGGTATCTGAGATAAAATGTTCCAGATATCTTCATGATCTTAGTTTAAGGTTCATCGATACTCTGATAAGAGAGATAACTCTTAATGACATAAATGTCTGTTATCCTTTATAGATTTTCCAAGTTGAAGTGTATTTTTTGTCCAATCTTGCCCCGCAAGCTAATCTGGTATAATTGTTTGTATTTTACTCATAAATCATTAAGATTCAAGCAACATTTAATATGAGGGTTTTAACTTAACTGATTGCAAGTAAGTTTGTTTGTTAGTTGTTTTGCATCCCCATGAGAATTTCTCACTCATATGGAGTTGCCACCACTTGCTGGTGGAGGGATGCAAATTTTGGCCTATACTTGGCATCATCAAGTATTTATAAATTTTGCACAGAATAGCCCCCCCCCCCCCAACTTCTGCCTCTAAGGTGTGATACATAAAAATATTCAAATGTTTGATTGATTGTATGTTTTTTTATGTCCCATGTGATCATTTTTCACTCAAGTTAAGACATCACTATTTTTATTGATGATACCCTTATATTAAATTTTGACCTTTTACTTGGCAAATAGGGCTATTGAGCAGTAAGGGATCTTTATTGTGCCAACACAAGCCATCCTAAATTCTGTAAAATAACAAGTTTTTACAGGGTCAAATTTTGGAGGTTTGAGAAAAAAATATTGGTTTGTGAGAATTTGCTGTTGAGGTTGGAGAAGTGTCAAGTAATAAAGCATATGAAATTTTACATTTCGCGAAGGTCATGAATTCAAGGGTTGCTCCATACCTTGAAAACAACAAAAATCAAACCCCCCATGAAAATTCACAGTTCATCCTGCAATTTTCACTTCAAAAAATTGGTTGAAAATGTCTGATTGGTTCTAAAGAAGTGGATAATGTGAATTTAAGTCCCAAATTATACAGGCCACTGAAGAATTGGAAAAGTCCCAGATAATATCCACACATGACAGACAGATCCCTGACAGTCAGACACATTTTGATCAGAAATGCTCACTTGATCTTAATTCATCTCAGGTAAACTTATATACTTCACATACTTTCATTCCTATGATTATCCCTAGGAATGGTCCTATCCAGTAGACCAATATATGGGACCAGATAGATGTGGATCCGCAACCCAAGGTGTGACCTGTCGCCATGGCAGGGTGTAAATACATCCCCGTCTTACTGAGGCCTAAAAAAACAAAATTAAAAAAAACATCCTTAGTACAGTGAAACCTGTCTAATCTGACATTTACTGGGAAAGGAACTTTATGTCAGAATAGACAGGGTGTCAGATTAGAGAGTGTACAAAATGGTAAAATGGGAAAGAAATTTCATGTCAGAATTCGGAGTGTGACGGATTGCATAGTGTTGGATTTGACAGTCTGCACTGTTATGTAAAGGGGCATGGACATTATAAATGTTGCTTTGCCATTTTGTCTATGATTTTATTTCATATCTATCTTTATCAAAAATTTAAATAAACTTTGGTTTAGTAAATTGGACTTAGGAATAATTCTTAAACATGTTAAAATTCAATCATAAGGGTTACTTAATCAAAGACTTGCATTTATAAAAATGGGCAACAAGCTCTGTTAATGTTTATTTCTAATTTGGTACATCTGATTTAACAACTCTAGATCTGTACACATTACTGAAACTTTTAACATCAAATTTGTATTCTTACTGGGTTGCCCTTTAAAGTGTTATAATAATTAAAGCACTTTGAAACTCCTCTTTCGGTACAGCAAAACTTTAGTATGAACACGGATATTGGGAATTCACAGATATAGCGAAGATATCTTCGATCCCCAGCTATAAAAATTTAACAAATTCCTTAATTTTAAAGGTCCTTGTGACTTGGTTATAACCAAGTTCTGCTCTGTATATAATTTATATATTGTAAAAATTTACCTAAACAGACAAGTACAGCACAATTGAAGATCTTCAGAGCAAGGTCTATTGGCACATATTTGGAGAGAGTCTGTTGGTCCAACCAGAAATCATACGTGACGACTAGAGTCTCCAGGATAAAGCCGGAGAGGGGGGACGTATTCAGGTCGGACACACAGTTCTCTTGTTGACTGACTCGGTCATCAAAGGAGTGGTGAAAATCCAGTCTATAAACTATATGGCCTAGTTCCCAGGAACTAAAACCAGCTAGGATCTGAGCTGTCACTTTCAATACAAATTTCCAGAGTGGAATTTTTCTCTTCAGATATTGCAGCCATACCTGTAATGGCGTGCCATCCCCAAGGTGAAAAATCAAGATGCTAATTGTACTCAGTGGAACACAACAAAAGACATAGCCAAGATGCCCATGGGCATCCCTGATCACACCATGTCCAAAACAGTAAGTACAGAAGGCCAAGGTTTTGAAGTAATCTAAGACGTATTCCTGTATACACCAAGGTAAAAACACCCTCGACATCTGGTAGAAGATGAAGCAGAATAGTAATACCAGAATATATACGAAGATGGACGAGATAATGGAAGAAAAATACGTGACTGGAGCTTCAAACCCTAGAGCCATCATCCACAACTCCCTCCAACTCACGATATCGTCAGCTGTAAAATTACTGATCGTCGGTATTATTTCTTCAGTAAAATTACTGATCGTTGGTATTATTTCTTCAGTAAAATTACTGATATAATTACGGATCGTTGTAATTATTTCTTCTGCATTGGTCGTTAAATTACTGATGGCTTCAGCCGTTATATTAGTAATATTACTGATCGTCGTAAGAATACTGTCAGCCTGCAAATATAAAAACATAAAACATTACTATAGGACATGACGACATGTCAGCCTAAAATGTAAAAACATAAAACATTACACTATAGGACATGACGATATGTCAGCCTAAAATGTAAAAACATAAAACATTACTATAGGACATGACGATATGTCAGCCTAAAATGTAAAAACATAAAACATTACTATAGGACATGACGACATGTCAGCCTAAAAAATGTAAAAACATAAAACATTACTATAGGACATGACGATATGTCAGCCTAAAATGTAAAAACATAAAACATTACTGTAAGATATGATGATCTGTCAGCCTGTAAATGTATTAAAAGACATGAAATACATGTATTACTGAAAAATATAAACCACTGTCCATATCGTCCACCTGTAAATATACCCGGTAAAACATAAAACTATCCCCGAATGCTTCCACATAAGTTTCAGCTTTTCTGGCCCAGTGGTTCTTGAAGAGAACACTTTTAAAGATTTTTCCTATATATTTCAATGTAAAACTTGGATTCCCTACTGTGACCCCACCCTACACCTTAGGGGTCATGATTTTAACAATTTAGAATCTACACTATCCAAGGATATGCTTCAACATAAGTTTCAGCTTTTCTGGCCCAGTGTTTCTTGGTAAGATTTTTCCTATATATATTTCAATGTTAAACTTGGATTCAAAATTGTGGCCCCACCCTACCCCTGGGCCCGGGGGTCATGATTTGAACAATTTAAACTCTAAACTATCCCAGAATGCTACCATATACATGTAAGTTTCAGTTTTTCTGGCCCACTGGTTCTTGAGGAGAAGACTTTTAAAGATTTTTCCTATTTATTTCAATTTAAAACTTGGATTCGGCCTATTGTGGCCCTGCCCTACCCCCAGTGGTCATGAATTTAATATGTAATTAAGAATCTAATCTATCTCAGATTGCTTTCAAATAAGTTTCAGCTTTTCTGGCCCAGTGGTTCTTGAGAAGAAGATTTAAAAAAAAACAAGAGGCCCAAGGGCCTTGAATCGCTCTTCTGATAAATTGTACAATCTATCACTTCTATTAGAAGCCTCCAACTCTATTAGTATCATAAGACCCAAAATGCATCAACTTACAAAGTATGATAATATTTAGCCAGTTAAGACTGAAGATATTATAATATAATTATAAAATACCATTAAGTAGGTCACAGTGACCTACCTTTTGATTGGAATTTTCTGAGGACTCGAGATACATTAATTGACAAAGACTGATGATTCTAATTAAATAAGTACCTGAGAATATTCAAAAGTAGGTCACCATGACCTACTTTTTGGTCAACATTCTCTGAAAACCCAAGATGCATCATCTGACAAAGTTTGAAAATTCTAAGCCAATTAGTTCCAGAGATAATTAAATATAGCCATCAAATGTCAAAAGTAGGTCACGGTGACCTACTTTTTGGTCGACGTTATCCAAACACCCAAGATGCCTAAACTGATAAAATTTGATGATTCTAAGCCAGTAAGTACCTGAGATATTCAAAAGTAGGTCACCTTGACCTACTTCTTGTTGGACATTCAATGAAACCGTAAGATGCCTCAACTGACAAAGTTTGATGATCCTGAGCCAGTAAGTACCATATATAATTAAATATAGCCATAAAATGTCAAAAGTAGGTCACAGTGACCTACTTTTTGGTCGAAGTTCTCCGAAAACCCAAGGTGCCTAAACTGACAAAGTTTGAAGATTCTAAGCTAATACATACCTGAGATATTCAAAAGTAGGTCACTGTGACCTACTTTTTGGTCGACATTCTCCGAAAACCCAAGATGCATCAACTGACAAAGTTTGATGATTTTAGGTCAAAAAGTACAAGAGATACTTAATTATAGCTACAAAATGTCAAAAGTAGGTCACCATGACCTACTTTTTGGTCGTCACTCTCCGAAAACCCAAGATGCATCAACTCACAAAGTTTGATGATTCTAAGCCAATAAGTACTGGAGATACTTAAATAAAGCCATAAAATGTCAAAAGTAGGTCACCATGACCTACTTTTTGGTCGTCACTCTCCGATAACTAAATATGCATCCACTCACAAAGTTTGATGATTCTAAGCCAATAAATACCTAAGATACTGAAATATAGCCATAAAATGTCGAAAGTAGGTCATTGTGACCTACATTTTGGTCGACATTTTTCAAAGACCCAAGATGCATCTACTGACCAAGTTTGATGATCGTAGGTCTGAAGGTAATCAAAATATGCATTTTAAACAATTTGAAAACAAATGTCAGCAAAATTCAAAAAGTAGGTCACAGTGACCTACTTTTTCATAAATATGTTTTAAGGTCCCTAGATGCATCAAAGTACAAGATTTGATGATTCTAAACCTCCCGGTGTCTGTAATAATGGGATTTAATGTTTTTAAATGGATAAGTCATAAAGTTAAAAAAGTAGGTCACGGTGACCTACTTTTAAGTTGTCATTGTTCAAGGACCCAAGATGCATCAACTGACAAAGTTTGATGATCATAGGCCTTAAAGTGTCCAAAATATGCCTTCAAATCAATTTGAAAACAAATCCCCACAAAATTTAAAAAGTAGGTCACCGTGACCTACTTTTGAGTTAACATGATGTGAAGTCGTAAGATGCATCAACTTACAAGATTTGATGATCCTAGTCCTTACAGTAAGAAAAATATACACGTTTTTATTAATTGTAAATTTAGGTCAACTTTGAAGTGACCTTGAGACCACGCCCTTTGCCCCAGGGTCATGCCTTAATTGAACAATTTTTAATCTTCAACATATCCTTATCCTTGCATGTAAGTTTGGTAAAAATCTGCCTGGTGGTTCTGGAGAAGAAGATTTTTTAGCAACCAGTACTTTTGGTTTTGTTTTCCTGATTATCTCCCCTTGTTTTAGGGTCCCAACCCTTATTTTAGTATAAAGGGTAGCCCTTGGGCCAGGGATACCCTGTGACAAATTTGGTACTGATTGGCCAAGGGGTTCTTGAGTTATGGCCCATATTCTAAAATATTTCAAAACTTGTAAAACTATGTAAAACTTGAATTCCCTATTGTTTTCCAAGTTTTTCACGATTTTGATATTAACATCTGAAATATATAAAGTTTTCGGACTTTTTTCAGGATCTGAATTTTTACGTGCCAGGAAAATGTCAGATCTGGAACCATTGCCTGATTACAAGAACTGGGAATTCTCAGGTAGATTTTCGATATTGCAAGCCGATGTCAAATTCACAATTTGTCAATAGTACAATACTGTAAGTCCTTTAAATGGTTCTTTTATAAAATACATAATCCGAAGAAAACACTTTATCTGACTGTCGAAATTTGCTTTTATTTTGTGCATTCTTAAAACTTGCAATCCTGTATCGATATGTGAAGTGGTGTTTCATGCATTGTGCTTTTGACAAATTGTGAGTTCGACAATACATATAATTTTGTTAGCAAGTCTCGAAAATCAACTCCAGTTGAAGACAGCAAAATTTTCAGTTTTCATAACCGCCCAGGTTCTGACATTTACCTGGCACGTAGAATATCAAAATCATAAAAAAGCCAGAAACCGTCAGATATTTCGGACTACCTGTAAACAATTATGGTAATGCAGAAACATAAAACGTTACGGTACAACATAAAGATATCATCTGACATCAGACAGTCAACATATTGTAGAAACAAAACTTTACTGCATGACAAAAAAACATCAACACAAGATCAATCATTACATTATTGTAAATGTATAAACATCCAAAATGGCTTTATATCATTAAACAAATTGAAATCATCAGCCTGTAGTGTATATGAAGAAAGTTACATGATAAAAAATTACTGTATGACATAACAATATCATGAGATTAAAAATGTAAAAGTTTGATGTAAAAACATTCTATATCATTCTCTAACAGATTTCTGGTAGCCTGTAAATGTAGAAACATTAAACATACCATGATTACTGTATGAAATATTCAGAAATAATGATAGCATCAGCCTGCATGTACACATGAATTGGATTGGAAAAAAAACAAGGCAAAAAATGCCTGTCATCTGACTCATCGTTCTCTCTTCATTATAGTTTTTCAGTTTATTTATTGTAATCACATTCAATCATGATACCCAGTGTACTGGTGTAAGAGACTACTTAACTAAAAACTGTACACTCAGCATGAATCAGCTATCAGTGAAGATACAGTCTAGCATGTCCTAAAAAAAGATTTAAGCTGCTATGGGAAATTATCCAATAGAGAGACCAAAAAATATAATCAAACAAATTAAACATCAGGCCCCAAGACCATAAATTGAAAACAGATTTAAGTTAGAATTTGAATCCTAAATAACTTTTTAAATAGAATTTCAAGCCAATATAACTTTTTGAAGCATTTTTCAAATGAAACAAAATTTTCATCATTTGTTGGAATTTAAATGTTATACGAAATTGCAAATTTTCAAGTAAATCACAGAATATGTTTGATAAAATTCAATTTAAATTATAAAAATCTTAATTTTGATTATAATAAGTCTCAGGGTTCTCCATGAGCTGTTTTACTGTGTTGGTCCCGACACAGTAAAATTTTCTCCGAGACAGAAACGATTAGGGATGGGTATTGCCAAAAATTTCATATCGCGATATATTACGATTTTTTCCCCAAAATATCATGATAATATCCTGATATTTTTACAAGCAAATTTTTTTAATGATTTTAAATGAATAGTCATTATTTTTCTTAAAAATGCTAGAAAAACAAAATTTCACTTTTTTGAAATTTTTATGTACATAAAATTAATCATGTCTGAATGATAAAATGCCATTCTTTTCTCCTTTTACAACATTTTTTAGACTTTCTGTGAGTGAAATTTAAAATATTGAACAAATAATAATACCTGGACTCTGCGTTTTCGGGGGGGGGGGGGGGGGGGGGTCCAAGGTCACTTTTTACCTGGTTTAGTATATATATTTAATAACTCTGTAAATTCCACCCTGCCCCCCCCCCTTCTAGATCTGTGCATGCATGTATTCTTTAGTAATTATAATGAATAGTGATACAGTTGCGCATTTGATAGCGAAAATTTTAATGCTTCGCGTAAACTCTGCAACACAGTAATATTTTAAACGATGGAGGACCCTGAGTGTATTCTCTGCTAATATGATCTCCCGGCTTGGTCAGCATGGTCAGATATATACATGTGTTAGTGGTAAAAATTGGTTGTAAGAAAATCGATCCTTGGCAATGGGGCTTCAAATTTTGTTTCAATCTGTATATATATATCCAAGATTTAATTGGAAAATCCTCTGTGTGATTTATGAACATTTCCTTATAAACAAGATTTGCTGATAAATCTATTCTGAATAACCAAGTTTTACTGTACAGTACTATAACAATTTAACACATACTAGCTAGCTTACAGTTTGATTACTATTTCTGATAATATCTTATTAGAAGTATTGTTGACATTTATAAAGAAATTTCTTTAGGATTCTGATGATTCATCAAACAGCAAGATATAGTTCTGCTGACATATGGCTCAAGAACTCAAAATGCCGGTACTTCATGTACATATAATATAGATGTACATGATTGTTGCTCAGATATTTCTAGTAAGAGTTATAAAACCAGTAAAACATTACAGACTTATACAACAGTGAAACAATAATTTTCATTCATATATCATCATGTTCATCTTTATCATATTCATGAATATAAAGAAACTATATAATCACTGAATGTTTTGTGGTTATATACCGTAGATATAGAATTTATTTCATGAATGGATAGGGAATTTTCGATAATTTTTATTCGTGAAAATATAAAAACTTCCTGCCTCATGAGAAACTATATAATCATTGAATGTTTTGTGGTTATATATAGATATAGAATTTATTTCATGAATGGATAGGGAATTTTCGATAAGTAATTTTTATTTGTGAAAATATAAAAACTTCCTGCCTCAAGAGTGAAATAAAATCAATATCTATTCACAAAACATTGAATATCCTGTTTCTTACATCTTCTACTATGTTCCTTGTTATAATTAAGTTCGTGCTGTGGGCTGTGTCCTCAATAATATCAATTTTATTCAATAGATGACTTAATCAATTCAGCTAAACTCTATTTATTGACTCCCCAAAACATTGAACAGTATGGTGAGCTATACAGTACTGTACAGTATTTGATCCTTGAAAATAGAAATGTTTATACTTATAAATACATTCCAAAATCTAAACTCCATATACACATTTTACTTACATTACAAAATTTAAACTCAATGATATTCAAATCTTAGTTAGAAAAAATTATCCAAGCATTCCAAGGGTTTTAATTCTAGGGGCAACATCTGAGTTATGACAGGCATTTAAAGCTACTGGAGTAAGGAATTTGGCATGGATGTTACTCAGTGGAAGGGGGTGGTGTACTGAGGTAGGGTAATTGGGCACTGGTGCCAATATGTGGCAGTGACTACGTCTAATACCTTAAAATTGAATTGCCAAAATGGTAAGATAATGATAATGATGATCAGTAATTAATTTTGATAACCTCACTAACAATACAAATATGTCAATTGTGAACACCGCAAAAGACATGAGATGGGATCAGGTGCTTTGGAGGAGTAAGCATTCCTTGTTGACAGGTCACAGTGACACCTACTGTGACAGTGATCCTTGATTAAAATTGATCAGGTAGGCAGAATATTCTGTACTCTGTAGTCATTTTTAACAAAGAAACAAAGATCTATCTTTATTGGTGTGAAATATGTCAAAAGAAACCCCAAAGATACCAGTAATAAAGCTTTCCTTTGCCAGCTCAATGGTCATTTCTATGTTTATCTGTTTATATTTCCATTTCTAATTTTTTTTCTCTGTGATAACCCTTAGAAATTTAAGTTAGGGGAGTTTATTTCTTGATAATAATTTGAATTATAAATAAAGGATCATGACATGCTTTACCGGTTATATCGAATAAAAGATATGTGTGAAAATAAAACGATATGCACATGTACATGTAAATTCACATTTTTAGGCCTTAATTTTCATTGGACAATAGGCCTATGCATGATAAGGTCCTCTACCCCTGAATAGTGAATTTTTACAGACCAGAACCAAATTTTACCGGTAAAAACCGACTTCGCATAGTCTGAATAATCTAAGTTTCCTCTTACTCTAACCCCCTTTTTTTTTTACAGCTATTATCAGTGATTATATGTATTGACATACCAGGAATTATATAGTTTGGGAATCTCAAATTACATTATATAATATATAAATAAAATATAAGCTTTTAAAATTAAATACTCAGTACACTTTTGACATGTTTGACAAACAGTTTAAAAAAAAAACTTACCATGATTAGGCTTTAATCAGTTGTCCACAATTTGAATTCCAACACTTATTTTGATTCTGTTGTAGTAAACTCTCTTTTGAAAAAAAAATAATAATCCGTGTGAGGTAGGGGTTTTATGAGGTCATTAACCCATGCTGCGATGCTTTGAAAAAATTTTCCACTATAATCCTCTTAGCCCACCTTCAACGACTCGCCTGACTGTGCATTTAAACATAAACACAAACAAAGGAAACAATCTCAAAATAAAACACTTGTATAGTTAAACAATGCTATTTTTTAAGGGTTGGGTAAGAACGTGCACCCTAGAAATCAACTCCACTTTGTTATTGTCTCTGTCGATCAGGCGCTTCATTATCCATCTGCGTACATTCCGATTTTTAAAACTTTCGTTTGACCCTAGCTGTCGATATGGCAGATTTGGCGGATCTAACAAAAAGAAAGAATGGAAAAATTCCATTCGCAACCTACTAGCGGAAAATTTTACGAAGCCCCCCTCCAGAAATGCCCAATGAAACTACCAAAAATATTGTTCACTATACATTTTTAAAAATATTTGTACGCATTTATGGTTAGTTCTACACGAATTTATGTTTTTTTTTATTTTGAACGGAAAACGGTGAAAGCGTAATCTAAGAAGGATAACTCTTCCAACATTGTATCATTTACAGCAAATCCATGTTACTGCCCGTTGTTTTCTCGTGCCCCGTAATCGAAGAATCGGGGTATTTTTGCCCTGTCTGTCCGTCTGTCTGTTTAGCTGTTTGTCTGTCTGTCCTCCAAAAAACTTTAACATTCATGATTGCTTATAACTCTTGATTGGTTGGAACTGTGACATATTGATATTCATATTTCACCTGACAGGTGTACTCCTTGTGACAGGCCTTCCTTTGGGTTTCAATATATTTGACCTTTAACCCAAATTTGCAAGAATTTTCCTAGCATTAACATGGGTAAAAACTTTTCAACAGCTGGCGGTAAGGCTTTCATACTTTACATACCGTATATATATATCTTTCCATGGATATTATTAGTTATCCAGGTTCAATCAAGGGTGTACGGGAATTTACCCCGGGTTTTATTCCATACACCCTGAGGCCGCAGGCCGAAGGGTGTATGGAATAAAACCCGGGGTAAATCCCCGTACACCCTTGATTGAACCTGGATAACGAATTTATTTCCTTTGTACCAATAAAAATGCTTTGTAAACATCAGAATGTGTCTCAATCTATCGATTAGATAACTACGTACTGAGAATGTATGCACTGTGACGTCACGTTTTATTTACACCCGGCTCAAGTCGGGTGCACGGATATTTACACCCGACTTTGTAACCAATCAAAGCTCGTGTTACAAGCTAGATAGGAAATAAAAATATTTTTAACCTTTTGACCGTGACCTTTGACTGTGACCCACTTTTAAAAACTTTAACATTCAACGTAACTTTTAAACAGTAAGCACTGGGGCCTTCATATTACATAGGTGTGACAAGGCCTTATTCTGAATGCCAAATAAAAATTGACATTGACCTTGGAGTTCGACACTTTAACCCTTTTCCTAACTTTTGAACAGTTTGTGCTAAGGCTCTAATGTATTACACATGTGTATTTCTTGTGACGATGCCTTCTCCTGTGCTCATTTTTTTTTTTACTTTTGCCTTGACCTAGGAGTATAACTTGCAATTGAGAAACTTTAACTTTCGCCCAAATCTCACACATATATACGGCATCGTCGCAAACCACGGCCAAAACCCTCTTCCATTCTGGTTTTAATATGCAAAGTGAGACTCCGAACCGTGGCTTAAGACGATGCACATACGGGGACATCAGTGTTTCACAAATATCTTAATTCTTTCCTAATTTTTAATTTTGATAATGGATTCAAAAGTATATGCCTTGGCCCGTTGGGCAAAAAAAAAAAAAAAAAAAAAAAAAAAGATGGCAAAAGTGCAATATTGCTCAACTAAACATTTTTCATTTTCTAGAAAAAAATTAAAGAGCAAAAATCAGTTCAGTATTGAAACAAAACATAAACAGAGGATGCTTCTAAATTTCCTTTAATTATCATGCTTTAAAATATTTTTTAAAAACTTTTTTGAATCTCTTTACATGATATACACGATAAAAAGGCCAAGTACGTGGCATCACGTGTATCCTATCCCCCGGGGGACACTTATTTGAACAAGGAAATATACACTTTAAAATATCGAAGATGTTTCAAAATAATATGACTTATCATGGCTTTGATGTTTTTGAAAAGCAGTTTTTATATTAGGTTTCAGTTTTTGTAAGTATATACCTGACATTGTATAGATCTCCTTTGTCAATATAGTTTAACCTTTGACCCCCTTCTCTGACTCTCCTCCCCCGGGAGAATGATTTGAACAATTTGAATCTACTACCCGAGAATGCGTCTGTATTGATATTACTAATCAAAGCTTTGTCTTTCTTGAGAGGAATTTTGATACCCCTCCCTTGAAAATATTGGGAGGGTATACGTATATAGTGCTCCTAATGTCGGTCTTTTCCGTCAGTCCGTCCCCGTCCGTCTGTCTGTTAATTACGATTTGGGGTATCCATCTCTTATCTGCAACTCTTCTTATACCACTGAATGAAATTTAATGAAACTTCCACAGAATCTTTGTTAAATATTGCCATTGTGCACCTCTTATACTACTTTTTGATCGGACACATTTCGGGTTTCCCATAGCAAAAGGTTGACACTGCCATTCTCTTTATAATATTGAAGGGTATCCATCTCTTATCCGCAACTCCTCCTACACCAATGAATAAAATTCACCAATCTAATTATCCTCGATATTTCTTTTTAATGTCGCTTAAAAAATAGCATCGAGGATCGGATTTTATTCAGATTGATACTTTCACAGATTCTTTATCACATAACACCATGATTGTGCATCTCCTATTCTATTTTTTCATCTGACACTTATTTTGGGTCTTCTAGAGCAAAACATGGACTTTGCAATTATATTAATAATATATTATAATCGTTTGGGAGGCGGGGGATCATTTAGTGAGCTCAGTGCTTACAGTACTACTAGTTTCCCCCCCCCCCCCCCCCGAAATTCGCTCCTTCTAAATTGATTTTTTCATAGGATTGAAATGTTCCACAAACAAAGATAAATTTTGGGTCCCAGTAAATGTTCTAACAAGCCTCTTTCTTTACTCCTCCCAAAAATATTAACAGTAGTGAAGAACTCGGACCTGCTCGGGTGGCTCGTACCTCGGACACTAACCTCGGACGTCAAAGGTGTTCTACCATCTTGCTTATTCAGTCATGTGATCTTATTTGAATTTCTTTCAAATGTCATAAATTTGAAATCTGAGTTATTTTGTTGCACTCTCAACATTTAGTTCTTGCTTTCAAAGCCTACTAACATAAGGTTGTAGTCAAAACCTATATATACAATGAAGAATTGGATAAATTAAGATACCCTTTTGAAGAACTTTGTGCAGAGCGAAATATGAAATGAGTGACAAGGCAATTCCCGGCGGAGAAATGTATCGACCTGAGGCGCATTCCTCCACCTTCATCCGAGGTTTAATTAAATGGTGTATAGCGGAGTCAACCGAGGATCGCCGATTGATAGTGATGGAGAAACTTCAAGAGTACTGTGCAACAATTCATTAGAGAAGTGGTGTAAATCATATGTGGATACTTATCAATAAAAATCCAAGGCTCTTTTGGAAAATTTGAAGTCTCAAAATTTTACCAAAATCAACAGCATTAAAACTTACGTACGACTTTATATACAACCATTCCTCACAATAAATTAAAGTTCAGGCCTTTTGATATCATTGACAGCTGCTTTTTCAATAAAAATGGAACTCGTAAATTTACTAACTTTGACATTGGTCATTTGCAAAATTATTGTGTTGAAAAACATTCGGATTGTACACACAAGTACTCTGAAGTTGACATCAAAAAGATGCGTGAGTTTCTGATTGACAATATCTAATGTATGTCGTTTTTGGAGACCAGGTCTTCCAACAAATTATTGGAATTCCCATGGGTACCAATTGCGCCCCGTTATTAGCAGACCTATTTTTGTATTCATATGAATCAGAATTTGTGCAAAATTTTATGCGTGAAAAGAAGAAAACACTTGCTGTGGCCATCAACTCGACATTTAGATATATCGACGACTTATTATCAATTAACAATAGTAATTTCCATTCTTATGTCGATAAGATATATCCTGGTGAAAAACGTGATGATTTTAACTTTTCTATCGTCAACTTACCTTTCTTATGCAGCAACATAACTTCATCACCTGCATATGGAGTTAATAAATACATGTATATCTCAGTTGATTCGATACGCAATCTTGAGCATTCTCTACGTATGAACAATTTTCAAAACGAGGTAAATTATTGACATACAAGTTGATGAAACAAGAATATTAGCAGTCTCGTGGTTTTAATTACATGTACCTTGTTAACAATTGCATGAATTGTACGTGTATAACTTATATCATTTGGGCGTATCTCGGCTGACTTTGTTCAATTTTAGGCCTTTGTTTTTATATTGAATTTGACATAATCATACAGACGGACTGTTCCATCTTCCTGACCAAACGTAGACTTCACGACGTTTGTGATCGGTCAACAAGGCTTGCTTACTCGTCTTAGGCACCTGATCCCACCTCTGTGATTTTCAGGGGTCTGTGTTTTATTCTATCATTACAGACTTGAAACGTTTATAGATTTTTTTAAGATCGCCAACTGTTTGTTTTCTTCTTGTAACCTTTCTATCCTTGAGTGTGTTACCTACTTTCTACAAAAATACATCGGGTTAATCAATTTAACAGGTTTTGAGATTGATCATCCCTATATAATTATATTTCTGAGAAGCTCACAGTCAGTAAAAAACTTATAAGCTTCGTATACTTAAATCTCTATTAAACATGTATATCATCGATGTTATGAACAATTATCTTCTGCCCAATACGCAAATAGCAGGTAAAAAAATGTACATGATGAATAGTGTAAAAATATCAATGAAAATGAATTATTCATAGAAAGAACCCGCCGAGGAAAGGTACAGTAAGATGAAACCTGAACTTGAATATAAACCATCATGACCATATAGCTCCGAGGTCTGCATCCAATCATTAATTAAAAAATCTGATTAAGCAAGTCTGTAACCGATGCCTCCTAAGTGGTCGAGGGATCCGATAGCTTAGGCGTAAGAACAATTGCGTTATTCAGGAGATTAACAACATGCTTCTATTTGAGGGACTATCTGCGTTTGAATGCATGGGAATTTAGAACAAACATCCAAGAGATTTCCTGACTGGGTTTTTATTTGAATAAGGGACAAAGTTATGTACAAATAAAAATCTGTTTAACTCTGGTCATCATTGGTAAACACAACCCTGACAATGGCAGAGACCTGAAGAAAAAGCTATTGTGCTCCGAACAGCTGTGGTGCGTGGAAACATCTTCGTATACAATGCGGAGGTGTTATTGAGCACAGAAAGTGACAGATGACGCGTGAACGGATTAGGTGCGCGGACCATGAAGACTAACAGAATACCACTGACTAGCATTATCTGTGTATTTTCTGTTTTTACTTTCATTATCCAAATACTGATTCTTCTTCATAGCAATTCCTGTAAGTATTATTTTTAATTTCTCACCATTTTAACTTTATTTTATTTTATTCTAATAATATAGACGGATTTAGTATGGTAGTGATATATTTCGCTTCCTTGGTGCAAATTATTTTTCTTTAGATCATGATGTCATTATGTAGGATTTGATTATATTAACATGCAACATTTAAAAAGCAAGTAATCAAGAATTTTCAAAAATTATCAACTTTCGCCAACATGTGACTTCAAAGACGCTAAATTCAATTAACATACATTTATTTATGTTGGCATATGAGATATATTTGTTGACACGCAACATATTTTTGTCAACATGCAATTTATTTCTGTTAAGATGATACTTGTTTTGACTTACATGCGAGATGAATACATGTATGTTGACATGTAACATATTTTTTCAACATGCAAATTTTTGTTGTGATGCAACTTGTTAACATGTATGTTGACATGCAAGATAAATATGTTGACAGGCAACGACTTTTTAAGAGCATGCAACTTTATTATGTTGAGATGCAATTAATTTGTTAATGTTTAGATGCAACTTGTTTATTTTTACATGCAACATATTTTTGTCAACATGCAACATATTTTTGTCAACATGCAACATGTTTTAGCTCTATTGTCAGAGACAGAAGAGCTTATGCGATAGTAAGGTGTCCGTCTTCCGTCCGTCTAGCTGTACGTCCGTCTATTTGTCTGTCTGTCTATCTGTAAACAATTTTTCAAAATGCTACTCCTCCTACAGTTTAGGTCTGATTTCAGTATAACTTGGCATACAAGTAGACTACATTAAGATACATAATTCAATTTGTTGGTTTTTGACGTCGATGAACAATGTTGCCGTGGTTACCAAAAAATTAGAAAATTTTTGAAATACTCAGTTTTGGTCTAATTTCAATCTAACTTGGCACATGCGTATACTACACTTAAAGATTCATAATTCTATGTATCGGTTTTTATTTTGATGAATGTTGTTGCCGTGGTTACTAAAAATAAAAATTTTATGTGAAATACATGTACTTTCAAATGCTACTAATTATACCTTCATCATCTGAAATATACATTCATCTCCTGTTTACGGGGTTTATATATCTAAGTTGATTCGATACGCAAGAGCATGCTCTACGTATGTTCAATTTCTGAAACGAGGTAAATTACTGACAAACAAGTTGATGAAACAAGAATATCAGCAGTCTTGTTTAAACTCATCATTTCGTAAGTTCCTTGGTCGATGCAATGACTTTGTCAGCAATTACAACTTATCATTGAGTCAAATGCTGACTGACGTTTTTCATACTAATTGTTAGGCCATTATTTACACATGAATTGTCGATGTATTTTTTCCGTTATTTTCCGATCTGATAAGGAGCACACGGCGGATGTGACGTGTCACCAAGAGATGCTCACTCCTCCATGGCACCTGATCCCACCTCTGATGTTTTAGATGTCCGTTTTTTCTCTGATTCAATTTTGTATTGTTTAATGGCCTTTTAAGCTTGAATACTGTTTGTTATCTCCATATATTTATGTAATAGACTTTAATAGATACATGTCTGTAAATCCTGTGCGTGTATGTTTGTATGTGGCATTATGTAAAAGGTTTATAAGTCCATATACCTAATGTATTTCTACCTATAGATGCTGTATACAAATGCTCAACATGGATTAATAGTGAAAAGGTAACAGACTCCAGATATCAACAAAAAGCTTACAATCTGGTGTCATACAAGGATTATCTTAACAAGGTAAAAGTTTACGGTGTCAATGTATACATTTATGTGATATGGCGCTTGTTTAATTGACCAACATTTATTTCCTACTTACATGTACATGTATTAGATAACCTAGATTTTTAATATAATGAGGTTAGTGACCCGTTCACATCAGATCGTACGATTTTTTTTTTACACTTTATAAAATTACATGCACGTACAACTATTCCTACGAATAATTTCAAAACGAGGCTTTTTATAACAATACAATTGCCTTTTCAATAAAAATAGAACTTGAAATTTTTTATATAATGTGTTTGGTCATCAAAAAAATTACTTTTTAAAGTCACTTTGATTCTACACAAAAGTACTTCGAAGTTGATATTTTAAGGAACACTATACTGTTACAACATACGAATGATTTATCATCGACTCAAGCCACGGTCCGGAGTCTGCTCTCTCCTACCCGTGGCCAGAATCACTCGGCACACCTCGGCCGATTCGTACCTCATCTATTGTTTGATGTAGTCCACGGAATCAGCCGAGGTTTGGCATGTTTGCCGAGTGGGCCAGAATGGGAGAGGGTCGTACATTTTGGCTGTGGTTTGCGACGATGATGACTTATTGCCATTCAAGAGCCTGTAGAGACATACAACAATGAAACATGTAAAATGATTATGTATAGTGCAGAGTTTTGTGTACGGGTATAAAGTACAGACAACAACTTGTTACAGACGGTATACATGTACTAAGGGACGGAAACATAAACGGAAATCTGTTATATTGAGATGGATTTAAAAATAATAATCTTATACATACTCATATAATATTAACAGTTGTACTAATTCCACCTCGTACCTAATGCGATTATCTCATAAACAATATATGTAAAAATACATCAAAATTATAAATTATGAATAATATAAAGCACAGTTACAGTACTGATTTGGGAGGAAAAATTTCATAATGTATTTTATAATTCCGCTGAAGCAAAATTTATTCAAAAACTTACACATGAAGGAAAGTTTACAGTGAATTAATGTAAATAAATGTTTGAGGATAGTTAAATCACTGATTTACTGTTTCAAAAGTGTATGAGTGAGTAAATGTGTTATTGAGAATTTGAGTTACTGTTCATTGAGTATGTGATTGAGTTATATACGTCCTCAGCAAAAATGAAACAGTGACTAATAGTATCTATGTAATTAACGTATCACAAATTGACACATACATTAAATTTCAATGTTATAGCCCTCATCAGATTTGACAAAACTTCATTCTGCATGGCGAAAAGAAGCTACTTTATTCCAAAGAGTCCCAGAGCAGAAAAGTAAGGACATATATTATGTGATAAAAAAAATTATTCATAAGTATAAACAGTCAATACTTCTATTTTTTTCAAACAACGAGGTATAAAATACCTAGCCAGGATATGAAATGCAGAGTTCATAAACCTATTCTTCTATCTTGCTATCTAATTTAAGCTTTATCATTTCGATTGCTCGGTTTCATAAGCAGCTTTGTAATTGTCCTCGACCTCATGTTAATAAAATTGAGTTTCTTTGTCTAAAGATGACATTGATTTATCTTATTTATATCTTTGATTTTCTCTGTTTATTAACATATGCTACGCTGATAAATTTATAAAAAAAGAAAAAAATAATGCATACATAACTCTGACATTTGATGCATTGTTTCAGGATATTTGACGATTGGTATCCCCACAGTTAGACGAGTGGGAGACGAGTACATAATGAAAACTATCAAATCCATAGTTAACTTCACGAGGACAGAAGAACTCAAGGAAATCTACATAGTGATTTTTCTTGCAGATTTTAATGAAACTTGGAGGGCAGACATTAGCGGAAGAATCAAGAAATCATATTCAAATCTAATAACGTCTGGAACTCTTATTGTAATTAGTTCCTGGGAATCGTTTTATCCCCCATTAGATAATCTAAAGCATACTTACAATGATAATGATGACAAAAGGAAATGGAGATCAAAACAGAATGTGGATTATGCTTTCATTTTCTTATATAGTCAAAACTTATCAACATATTACATTCAAATGGAGGACGACATATTTACAGTTCCTGGATATCTGCAAGTAATCAAAGATTATGTTTCGGAGTTCAAAACGCCATGGACATGTTTAGAATTTTCAGAACTTGGGTTTATCGGTAAACTTTATCATTCGTACGATCTGGAAAAATTAGCCAAGATGGTGTTATTATTTTATGAAGAACAACCGTGCGACTTTACGTTTTTATATTTCAACCTGCAGATGCTACAGTTTACTCGCTACATTCGTCGTCCCACCATATTTCAGCACGTTGGAATTCGATCATCACTTCCTGGAAAAATTCAACCTTTAAAGGACAGATATTTTGACAATTTAGACAAATCATATAAGGGAGATAACCCTCCCGCAAAAATCTACACAAACATGGACATCGAACCGTCGTTCACTCCAGAGATGGCTTACAGCAGGGAACCAGGTTATTTTTGGAGTAAAGGCAATGGGAAAGCAAATGACTGGTTCACAGTCGTGTTCGATGAACCTCAGAGATTGGATAGTATAATTATAGACACTGGGTCACGTGAACACCCAGAGGACAAAATCGAACACGGTAAACTACAGGCCAGTCTAAGTTTAGTGAGTGTATCCTCGTCTCAACCTAAGTGTACAAATGATATACTTTTAGGATACTTTGAAAATGGGGATATTAAAGTGGGAAATTTGACATCAACTCTCGGTCCTTTTAAGATTCATTGTGTGAGTATCATTTTAACGGAAACACAGAGTTGGTGGATAATCATCAAAGAAATAGCAATCTTTGTGGCAACGTGATAGATGTTTTTTTTCGTATATAATAAAATGATGAAACAAAATACATTTTGCACATTTACATTGCTTTATCGGTAACTCGTTTTATTCAACTACATGTAGTTGTGTGATTACTTCTCTACCCCCTTGCAAAGGCCCAGGGAAAGGAAACACATCATGCATTGAATAAAAACCATATTTGGGTAATAATTTTACAAAATGCCTCGTTGAAGTTAGATTTCGGATTAGTTATACATTTGTATTTTTAAAATTTGTATATCAGAGGCAACAGTAACAAAGTTAGGAGGAGCGTGTGGATCATTTTTGTATCTGTGCACACCAAAGGAGGAGCGAATCTTTTATGTCTTTGTGCATGCTGAAGAACTAATAAGGAGGGGCGGATCTTTTGTATTTATGTATACAAAACAACTGAAAAAGGGGAGCGGGTCTAGTTGTCTCTGAGTATACCAAATAAGTTGATGATAAGGAGGTGCGGATCTATGTTTTATCTGTATATACCAAAGAATAGATTACATGTAGGAGGAACAGATCTATGTTGTCTCTGTGTTACCAAAAAGGCCGATCAATATTGTGTCTTCTTATACAGTCCATGTTTTTCAATTCTTAAACTATACCTCCTGCATACAGAAATAATATATTTCATACAGAGGCGAGCTAGAAATATATACATGTACATATGAATTTATTGTAAAATAACGCCGTCATCATAGGAAATTAGAATTCATTAGTTGCGATATTGACTAATAGTTACGAATATATAATTATATATGATCCAATATTCTAAATAAAGAAAATTCAAATTAATTTTAGCTCTCTTATATCATGTGTATATATCTAATTAGAAATATATAAACTGCTAATTATTTAGCGAGATGAAATATATTTCTTTATCAAAGAGATAATTAACGTGAAACAGCATCTTATCAGACATTGACATGTAAAGAAGCTATTTCTGGAAGACGGTCTTATGTAAGTTTACATTATTTAGACGACGTATTAATTTGTAGACATTTTTAGTTTCACAACATATTGGTGACGTATCACGATATTTCAAGAAGCTTTATGCGTAAAATACCAGGATCGTGGGAGAGAGAGAGACGTACATTTAGAAGAAAAACTATAAAATTGACAAAATTGACAAATAAGCTATCCATAGTTCCGTGAGACAGGAATTCTAATAAGTACGAGTATGGTACACAATCTTTTGACTGAGCTAGTGCGTTGTAACAATTATAGTGCACGTATCAAGCTAGATTACACTTCCCAAAGCCAGATATATAGAAATACATGTACAAGTATGGTATACACGTGACATACCTAACAATTAAGCTATGCTACATGTACTCGTTCCTAAAGTAGACAGTAATACTGACAAGTATGGTATATATATGTATATGACATAGTCCGACCGTATCTACATGCTGTCATACGTTCCTAAAGCTGAACACGAATCGTTAGTAGGCCAACGCCATATTAGAGGATACTATCAACGATATCAGCACTAAGATATACCCTTCTCATTCGTTACACCTGATAACTGTATTTTACGGGCATCAGCGTGGAATTGCGACACGTGTTTGTGCTGGTTATGTTGCAGTTACGTGTTTTTGGGTTTGTCTGTATACCGCACTGGCCTGTGCACTGTTGTAAAATTCTTTGGAATCTTACTCTTCTGTCGTAGAAACACACTGTTATTATTAATTTTAGTTAAGTGTGAGGTTTTGCATTACGTTACGATCTTATTCGCCAGATGCATCCAGCATAAACAATTCACGTGATGGGTCAAGTCATATTATCAACATTGACACGAAAAGAGTCTGTTGCACGAGCAACCAATCAAGGATTAGAAGAAAGTTCCAGTCGTAAAGCTTGCGATTAGGAGTCGTGTATTATTTACCTTGAGCGCAGCTGTCATCATAGAATGTGATGTAATGCAAAACTACACACTTAACTGAGATCGATAGTATTTTTGCCACAACCGAGTGCTGTGTAGCATGCGTTCCAATACAAATAGTATTTCGGGTATACATGTTCATGTAATAAAATTGATTTAACCGTAATAAAGATCATGCAGGGGTCCTGCCCATAAACACTAGTGATATAACACACAGTGTAACTACTCTTTAAAAAAAATAATAAAACAAGGATGTGGATCTTTTTCAAATTATTTTATTCATTTTTCTAGTGCGTATCTGATTAAATCAGACATAATATGCATCAGAGGTAACTATCTATAACTAGACGTCCACATTTGGCACTCTATCACAAGTAAACAGGGAGGAAGATCCGCCTATAATACAGTGGCGGATCAATAACAAAGTGGGACATACAATCATTCATCGACTATCAAACATTTCATCAACACATAACAATAAATAGAGATCGAGGATAACAACTGTATTACTACATCAACAAAACGGTCAATATTTATCAATGTCTCCCCCATAACTTCACCTCCCAGAAAACATTTATAATCACTGCCTATCATAATTTATATTCATCATACATTGTAATTTCACTTCAAAGAAAACATTTTTTTTTTCACTGTCTATCATAATTAATATTCACCATACACTGCAACTTCACATCCAAGAAAATGATATATTTATCACTATCATAATTAACGTTCATGAAAACGACATGTAAATCTATAATTATAGTTCATATTCAAGTTTTTTGGCTTTTAATTTTACAAAGCATATTTCTGCGTATGCGTGTACGTGCATTTGAAATACTAGACAGTGTCAGAGCTCTGTGAAAAAACCTCTTATTCAAAGGCATTGAATGGTAGATAACACATGTACAGAGCATTGCATTTAAAATTGAGATCTTAACAAAAATACTATAGTATTTATAATTTTGGCCAAAAAAAAAAATCATGTTTATATTCTGGAAAATAACACCAAAGACAATATGACCTACACATTTACATTTGTTTTTCGGACTACCATAATGTATCTGTACTGTTAATAATAATAAAAATTCAAAATAAACTCATAAATATTGATAAAACTACTGTTTACATCGTGCGTTACATATAAACAAGGTACATATTCCTCCGTGTTTTTGAACAATTCTTTTCCTTTTGATTAAGTTAAATACAACATATAATCGTTACATTCTAGGGGGTTACTTTACAAATGTGATTAACAGAAAATAAATATATGATGCAATAACGTGTTTTATCCTTAGCGAACATATGTTGAATTTCTTCAAGGATATATATCACTTATACTACGAACATATTCATGTGATAATAGCAGAATAAGAAATAAAAAAATATAACCTTAATAATGTTATTTTAAAAAATTGCATTTTTTCCCACAAGAAATCAAATATCTTTATCTTATTAAAAATAGGCAATGTCAATTTTAAAAGTTAATGGAAAAATTACACAAAATGAAAATGTCGTAAGTAATTTATGACATGTTTATGCTGCGTTCAAAAATTACATGTAATTATAATTTGAAAACTTCCCTTGTCCATAATGACTTCTCTCCTCTCTGATTCAATTTTTACCATCAAATTTGTTTCACCTTAAGAAAAATAAACAGGTCTTTGACACGTTAACTTATCCTTCAACATGTTAATTAATTCAAAGGAATGTAACTTAGCATTTTTCGTACAATACAATATGGCAAGAAAATTACTTTGCTTTTTATTGCGTGAACATATCCTGTAAATTATGTTTAGAATATCAAGTCACATTCGAAATACTAGCTAACAGAAACATGTATTCAATCACACATGTACAACGTAATTCTGTTAATTGTGACTACTACATACACGTTCTGGTACAAGTTTCTTTTCTTCCCCCCTTCCTATCCTTTGTGTTTTATAAATACTGAAGATACAATCATCTACTAATAACATAAAGACATAAAATTATCAATTTGTCCATATACATTTCCAAATGAATGAAAATTCTGGGTACGCATAAAGTATTTCCTAATCAAGAAAAAATATGTCCATTTAAAAAAAACGACGGGCAAGTTTGATTCTTTGTACATATTGTATTTTTAGTTAATGGTTTTACGCACTTTGAAGAAGTCTCTGTTTAAAAAACATTTTGCAATATGATTGAGTACTTGTCTAGTAAATTTTATATTATATCTTTTTTTTTTACGTGACGTTTCTCTTGAACTACCAGGTATATAAATCATTCCCTCGGACAGTAGTCGGCTACGTTGAAGTTTCCGAATACATTCAGTTCATAAAGACAGGAAAAGACTATTACAACAACGTAAACCAACAAACAAACGACACCGAACTTTTTGTTTAGCCGCCATTTTGTAACAAACATGGCGATGATTAGGAATACAACTGTTGATAACAAAGTAATGGCGGAATAAGTCAGTCCTTCGCTTTTTATAGGGATGGGGTCTCCACTTTCTAGGATGAGGGATTTTAACAACCAGGGGAGACCCAAACACATCAAAATGTCAAATACATTGCTCCCTATGGAGTTAGAGACCGCCATATCTCCTAAACCTGAAATAAAGAAAAAATATCGCTGTGTAGTGACTGAGTAAAATAAACATACTTATTGCATCTACATACTTCTTTAGAGATTAGATGAAATCTACACCGATTACTCTAAGGGAACAATTCACCTTTAACGGATGTTTAAATATATTAGTCAGCGACCTATGTTCGTACATGTATGTTGTATACTTTGCATTAGATGTTCAAAAGTCTGCACTATCAATGACAATGTTGCTATAATGTACTCACCGTCTCTTGCTACAAAGAGACTTGAAAGACAGTCTGGTACACTGGTACCTGCTGCTAACAGAGTGAGTCCCATTACTGTCTCCGGAATTTCTAGGGCATCACCTACCAAAATAAAAACAGCGTTATAAAGAAAACTCAACATCTCTTAATATAAACCACCACCTATATTATTAAAATGAATATCGACTTATAAGAGAAATTAAATATTTATATATAACATTTTAAGACGGCGTCAATACGTTCTATTTCCACTATGGAAGATCTAGAGTTATGCTTCTTAGTGCGCTCCTTTGTGGAAAAGTCGGAAAATGTACAAATCTGTGATTTCTGGAACAAGCGTAACTGTATAATTATATAAACATCTAAGTAAGGACTTTGACGGACACCTTGCACTGAGCAACTCAATAAAATGGACAGAATGCAGAAATTGTTTCAGTTATCCAAATCGCATGACAAATGATCATATGATGTACCCTTAAAACAACATTACGCTTAAAAATGATAAACGGTTATCTTTTCATTAAATATCAGAAACAAAAATGTGTTCCCTGGACATCTCTGATATACATAACATTGTTTTGCAAATAAAACAATAATCCAGAAAATTTAAGGAGATGTAATCCGGCAAAAGATGGCAACCTCAACCATATACGTCCGCCATTTTCACGATTTAAATAACCGAGATTTACGGTTAAAAATTGATATTGTGTTTACAATTTTTAATTCTAAATTTCATTTCAATAAACACTATAGGAAACTGCATATGATGTGAAAATTTTAAAACCATACAAGTAACAGCTTTTTAAAAAGCTTGCCTGACTAGATCAATAAATATCGTACATTTATTGATCTGCACCACGTGAAAATTAATGCACGTAGTTACTATAAAGTCAGATAATTATAATATAATCAACTTATTTTTAGAATTCAGACGAAAACAATACTGATAATAGATCTCTCTGGAAGGCATAATATTGAAAGAAATTTAAGAATATGTAACATTTGTGATTGTAAAACTATTGGTGATGAATTTCATTATGTTATGAAATGCAAGACTTAGTACCTTTCGAATGACAAAATATTTCTCCAAAATAGATATCGTAAAATTCCTAACATTTTCAAATTTAATGAACTAATGAACAGTAATAATGTAGAAATACAAAAATTCTTGGTCAAAATTTATCAAAAAATTTTCAAAACTGTCTGTCCTTCTTGAATCCTGAATGTGTTTTATATACACATGTACAAGTAACTGACTATACGTTTATCTCATTCTTTTTTTTCTTTATACTTGTCTATTTCTTGATCCTTGACTGTAATTTTTGTTTGTATATATGTAACTCTTGTACCAGTCATCTGGTTTTGAGTGAAAAAAGAATTGAAAGGACTGCATTCAAATAATTGATTGAAATTTTAATGCAATCTACGATTTGAAAAAAAAAATTAATGACCTTGACCTTCTAAATGACATTTTGCCAAAGGTCATTTCGCAACGGCATAACAAGAGAAACTGCTTGTGTTCTGCGTGGATTGATTTTGCTGCTGGAAAAAGTTTTTTCTAAGCTGCTGATTACATGTATCTTGACCTTAAATGGAGATATGACCAAGCATTGAATTCTCAAACTTTAATGTAACAAATTACTGGTCGTCCAAGATAACATATTCGTAGGGAATTTAAGGTCTACATTGAAGGCGAGTTATCGTTCTTTCCTTTATTGTAAAGAAGGACAGACTGGTTTTAACTATATTATATAATATACAATAATTATACTTTACCTTTTAAAGAGTATTAAAATTTTAACTGTACAGTCATGTAACAAGACAAAATCTCACTTGATTTAAAATTGATGAACGTCTATTGTCATCCTATTGTTACATGTATAAAACGCTTAAAATCATTAACTGATCAATTTACGTAATTAATAATTAGCTTTTTATTATATCTGGGTCCGCCAGAAGTTCAATCAATAATTTGTAACTACTTGAATGCGTTCTGCATTGACTGGTTAAACAATCAATTCCAAGATTAGTGGAAAAGTGTAATGAAAAGAAGCAATATGGCTTCGTACATTTATTGATTTGCACCACGTGAAAATTAATGCATGTAGTTACTATAAAGTCAGATAATTATAATATAATCAACTTATTTTTAGAATTCAAACGAAAACAATACTGATAATAGATCTCTCTGGAAGGCATTATATTGACAGAAATTTAAGAATATGTAACATTTGTGATTGTAACACTATTAGTGATGAATTTCATTATGTTATGGAATGCAAGACTTAGTAACTTTCCCATGACAAAATATTTCTCCAAAATTGAAATTGTAAAAATCCTAACACTTTCAAATTTAATGAACTAATGAACAATAATAATGTAGAAATACAAATAGCATTGTCAAAATTTATCAAGAAAATTTTCAAAACTGTCTGTCCTTCTTGAATCCTCCATGTGTTTTATATATACATGTAACTGACTATATGTTTATCTCATTCTTTTTTTCTTTATTAATACTTGTCTATTTCTTGACCCTTGACTGTAATTTTTGTTTGTATATATATACCTCTTGTACCAGTGATCTGGTTTTGAGTGAATAGTCCCCTAAAGAATTGAAAGTACTGCGTTCAAATAATTGATTGAAATCTTAATGCAATCCACGATTTGAAAAAAAAAAATTAATGACCTTGACCTTCTAAATGACATTTTACCAATGGTCATTTCGCAACGGCATAACAAGAGAAACTGCTTTATAAAGAAGGTTGTGTTCTGCGTGGATTGAATTTGCTGCTGGACAAAGTTTTTTCTAAGCTGCTGATTACATGTATCTTGACCTTAAGTCAAGATATGACCAAGCATTGAATCAGGGACACCAGCTAATGCACATCTCTGATGAAGAAACAAATCATTCTTTTTACTTTAAAAATATTAAGTGCGCAACATTTAAAAAAATGAGAAGGATGCATTTTGTAGCCTGATTCAATCTATATTTGATTCGAATTCGAAGGATCGGGGTAAAAATAAAAATCAACGCCATTAAAATCTTCTCTGTGTAATTTATCATAGCACAGAGCATGCACTTGTTTCCTATACGGGACACCCCCTACTTATTTTTACCACAAGGTACCTAACTCAATTTCAGACACTCCCGCTTCAACCTTGTATTATAAAATATCGATCATTTACCTACTTTAAAATGACAGTCATCGTTTGCTTCCAGAGACTTTTTTTTTTTGTCAATTAAATTGCTTCAGACGTCTCTGGTCGAGCCTCTTCATTGTAAAACACTCATTTATTCCTCGAAATATTAAGAATTCCATTCCGAGGTCTATGGTTTTGTCCTACATTTATAACCCCGAGTGGCACAGTGGTTAGAGCGTCTGCTGTAGAGTCACGAAGTAAGGAGTCATTCCTTACGTCGCGGGTTCGAATCCCACTGTGGGACGTGGAGACCGGTCCTTCAAATGAGACCTTATAAACCGAGGTCCCGTGTCGCAGTAGGTACTGGCACGAAAAAGATCCCTCACTGCTCAGTGGACCTGTATGAGTGCCGAGTATAGGACAAAATTGTAGCTCCAACGCAAGTGGTGGCGTCTCAATATGAGTGAAAAATTCTCGAGAGGGATGTTAAACAACATACAATGAATCAACCAATCAATCAAACATATATTAAAAACTTCAAACTTATATTTTTGCATAGCGTTTATAAGTCTAGCTTCATGTGTTAAACTTTAAGGTTCATTTAAATCACATACTTCTAAAAATAGGTTTTTCCATTAGTTAATTTCAAATCATAAGAGAGATAACTCTGAATAAAAGTAAACATGGGCCATAAATTTGGATCACGGAACTCTTCTAATCGTTGTTCAATGTGTTTAAAACTGTTTAGCTATTAACATTACATGATATTTTCGTACCTGCAACAGTCACCATCCATACCATGATGTAAGACAACCCGGCGATCCATGCAATCGACATCACAAAGGTCAAGGGGTACGTCTTGTGCCATTTACCGGGCCGCCGACAATCCGGAATAGTTACGAAGAACATGGCGTGCATTGGAATCATGGCCACCCAAAACACGCGCTTTGGGAACGTGTCTGGAATTTTCCACGGAGACTCGTACTCTTTGGCTGAAAATCAAGAAAAAAATATAAGAGATAAGGGACACATTAAATATCCAAAACGAAAACATCAAATTTGACAAGTGTATTAGCAAATGACACGATTGCAATGTTATGATTTTTTTAAAACGAAGCGTACGATGTTTTCTGACTGTACATAACATCATTTATGGGTATGTGGTGCAGTGGGGTTTTGCGATAAGGCAATGCAAGGAAAAATTGCGCATTTGAAATATAAAATGGCGTGCATTTCATCTACTGCGCATGAGTGAAGGGCTGAAGAGAGACGACTGGAACCAGAAAGAGCTTGGGAATCTTACAATCTTTGTGATCGGCGCTTTTTTCAAACGACTTATTTTCATGGCTAGTGAAGGAGGATTCAACTTCCTTCGGTGTGGTATTACTTTCGTCAATCGATCGTGCCGTTTTGGCCGTTTCTGATTCCAAAAGCGCCTGTCTTTCGCCATGATGATCATGAGTATGCAAAGGATCTTCAATTCTGTCTCCGAAGAACCTTTGCAAGAGATGATAGATGACTTGCTCCAACTTCTTATTGAAGTACATCAGAAGGATGTATACAATGTACATTAGGAACATTATCAGACTCTCATACCTGTAAGGAGAGAAAGGAAAAGAAAATATTAGCGCCATCTCTGCTTCTAGACTTACAATCTTTGTGCCCCTCTGGTGGGTGGAAATCTCTCTCGTCCTCATCAGTATCTTTATCCTCGCTAACACTTTCCTCTTCCTCCTCTTTTCTAACACTAAATGTTGTTTCATCGTCGTTTGAGTTGGGGGAACCATTAGGTGTTGATTTGCTGTTTTCATAATACAGAGGTTTGGCAGCCTCGGTTTGGTTGGAGTTATGGTCTTCGTGTCGATGTTTTTTGGCGTGTTTTCGGGCCTTGATTTTCTTGAGTAGTCCCTCCATGAAGGGTTCAATTGATTTGTTAAAATACATCAAAATGATGTACATAATATACATGGCTACCAGGATAAAGCCTTCGTACCTACAATTTAACGTACATTTTTAAAGACATACAATATCACTTTTAGAGGTTCATTGGGATATGACACGAAGTTGGTTACGTGATCAAATCCTAAAATTAATATTGGCATATAATGAAAACATTGCCAAATGTAAAGATTAAAGAACTATTCTAAATCATGAAGATCACGAGCATGTTGGGCATATTTGAGTTTGTACGTTATGTAAACCATATTTATTGCTTTTCATTAGGATTTTTGGGGTCCAAAATTCTATCTCCGACTTTGACGATGAAAATACGCGTACTTGTATTAAAATAATTTTCTTAACATTTCCAACAATCTTCATTGACAAAAGTGTATATCTGATATCTTTATTTAGAAATCTCTTGTGCAAAGCAATTGATATGTCTAAAAGGGTGCAAAAGCTTTACACTATTTTTTTTTTATTTGTAATTTGTTTGATTACTATAGAGAAGTTTTCTTGCGTGAATTATTAAGTGGCGATATAGTAAGAGTTTTAACCAAACTGAATGAAAACTTTCCTATTGTGAATTTATGAACGTCCTTTCCAGAGAAACGCTATAATAACCTAAGTGTTAATTAGAAGAATCCTAATTAATATTTAACATTCATATCGGTAAAACCTGTGCTTGTGTTCCTCCATCAGTTATGACCTTGTTCATGAGGAAGAATACTGTTCTTTTGTAACTGATTTAAGGGGGTTCGCCACATTAAAAGTCAGCTGATGGGATTAACATTCTTCTGCAGAAAGATAAGATGAGCGCCTTAATTACTATTCCCGGATTACAACGGGACTAATTATGATGAACATGTCAGAAAACTCGGTCACACCGTGTTCCTGTAATTGCTGCATCTCTTCCACTTGTTTTCAAACAATGCTCAAGTCAGAGCGGTTTTTAAAGACATTGGGGTGTCGATGCGCTCAACATTGAGGTGCATTTATACATTTCTTGTACCTACTTGTGTTTTCTTCATTTATAATATAGTAGCAATCCGTGTTTTTCATAAGAGTTGTGAATAACAAACAATATGCTCAAGGTTTTTATGGATAGTTATTGGCAAAGGTTAGCCAAAATATGCACCACTTTCAGTGAACTTTAAAAGAAGAGTTCCCAGTTCGATACTTCTTTTTGATTACATGTCAGCATTTTGATTCTTCTTTTTTTTTTGTAGTTTCAAGGTTAGAATCAGGCTTAATGAGTAACCCAGGGATTTTGTTTTATATATATATACATATATACACCATAATGTACCATGACAAAGGAACCCTTTCAAGTCTTGCCAAGTCAGTCCAAATTGCCAAATGAATTTACAAAAGTAGAGCTTTGCGTCTTGTGACCTTTGTTTCGCCTTTAATTTAATAAGTCTACGGATCTTTGAATAAAAATGTATTAGGATGTACATCAAAGAGATTGAAGAGTATAATTAAAATTGATCTCGCAGATGTGTTCGTTCCAAATACATGTACCAACGAACGCGTTTCACCCGAATTTACTAGGTCTAAAAAAAAATCTCCGTATGATACACGTGCAGATCATTTCACTGCTAGTTTTGTTATAAAATCGTCTGGTACTTAATTTGTACCTCAGCAAACTTTAAATATCAAGCAGAACGTGACATAAAATACATTAATTAATATCATATGAATTGGTCTTCGTCTTTGACCAAATGATAGTAATAAAATCTAATTTGCACCCGTGTCTTTTCTTTTAAGATACATTTATTTTTTGTAATAACATTTATTTTAGAACATTTTATCCAGTGAACAATTTTTATCACATTAATCCTCGTATACTGACATTTCGGGATGTCATGAAACAAAAATCTGGATATCCATTTTTATACACTGAAGAACGAGATTGAAATATACGATACACTAGAAGTTGAATAAAGTTTAATATTTCTCATAAAATTTTATTTAAAGAATTTGTTTTATGAGTCAACAGGGAAGCGAAAGGTACACAAAAAAACTCATGTAAATTGGGTAAAAAGAAATGTCAATGTCTTAAAATTTTGTCACATGTCTTTTTAAAGTGTTATGTTTGTATTTACTAAATGGTTTTAATCCAACAAGTTGCTTGTTTCTCATTTAAAAGCATATGTGAAAGAAACATTATCAAATAAATTAAAGATATATAATTGCCATTTCTTTGACAAGCAAAAAAGGGGTCCCCAAACACTTAATATATTTTGTGTGTGCGTGGTTTGGAGAGAAAGGGTTGGGGTTTGTGGGCACCTTTCAATGAATATTTTCAAACTAATTAAATACTTAAAAGTTATGCTGTTGTAAAAATTGCCCCACCTCCATACAACGTATTTATAATGAGATTTTGTTAAATTAATGTAACTCTAGTAGTAATGGATTCGAAAAGCATTTTGTTCTTAAGTTTAATTGTATAGTATTGTATTAAATTGTATTAAAACATTTAACCCCCACCCACCCACCGCCACTAGCTCTGTCGTTTATCGAAAGCAGTTACGACACACTCCTATAGAATGTCGAGCCATTCGAAAAGATCTCTTTTAAAATAGTTGTATGGACTAAGTAACCATGTATCAAAGAGTCGCAATTATATAGTGCCATTTTATACTTATCTTCCTTCAATGTTCAAATCAATTCAGATGTCTATAGTGTGCAATTAAGCCACAGACAGCAATAATGTATCGATCTATTCAGCATATCTAGACACGACTTTTCTGTACATATAGGCTAAAAGGAACTGATTCAATAATTATTACCCAACAGCAAACGTCCAATGCTCTTATCGAATTCTTCAAGTCAAATTTTACTGAAATCCTTATTATTAAGACCTAAACAATTACCTGCCTTGAAATCTTGCTTATAATAAAATCCAACTGAAGTTTTACATAAGAACAAAATCTTATGACTTTGATCAATTAAATTAGCAATTTAAGAGGGCTGGGTGATTGTGACCATTTGAAGACTATATTGATCTCCTCTAGAAGAAGAGCTCCATATAAAGATATACAAAAATGATCAAATTTTGAAAATAAAATGTATAAAATTTTTCTTTGCCAAATGATTTTTGATAGCTTTAGATATCATATCTAAAAGATAAGTTATTCTCAGATGCTATGGAAAAAATTAATACAAATTATTCAATTTCTTATCAGTCAGCAGACATTAAAGATATTATCCCAAAAGTGCTGGGAATTAACAGGTCAGTGTGTTCCATTTCCCGAGGCTAATAACCCTGGGCCATAGAAACTTGTAGATTCCCAGCACAGAGGGAAAGATATGCTGATCTTTTGACTGACCAGACATCGAATTACTCTTTTATAAGCTAAACAGGCAGTGCCACCAAAATAGATTGTCAGTCCTATATTTCCAAACTACAGAGTGACTGAAGGGTCAGTATTAGATATTGTCAATTTTGAATTGAAAATTTTTATAATAACTTATAACCAGGTAAATTCAAAATTTACAATTAGAAAAAAAAGATCACTGTCCAAAATTTGTAAAATTTTGACTGGTACTCCAATAGATTATCTTGAAGTTAAGCAAACAGTTCAGGGGATTGAACAAGCATAAAAAAATTGTCAAAAGAAATTAAATCGAACAACGAAATATCATGTTTTTAAACAAGATGAGGAATTTATGCATTATCATAGGATCCTTATTGCCGCAAATCACAAATTATGACATATATATTTTTTCTACTGTGTATAATTAAATTTCAGAAATGTATAATTATAGTTAACAAATTACAAATAATTACCCACCACTGAACTTCGTTGTCGTATATGGTGAGGATTAGCGCTGTAACGGATAGGAGGTAGAAGACAGTGTCACGTAGGACCGGGTACCAGGTTAACCGCACAATCTGTAAATAAGTCAGTAAAATCACTAATCTGTAAATAAGTCAGTAAACATCACTATAATCTGTAAATAAGTCAGTAAACATCACTAATCTGTAAATAAGTCAGTAAACATCACTAATCTGTAAATAAGTCAGTATCCCTAATCTGTAAATAAGTCAGTAAACATCACTAATCTGTAAATAAGTCAGTAAACATCCCTAATCTGTAAATAAGTCAGTAAACATCACTAATCTGTAAATAAGTCAGTAAACATCCCTAATCTGTAAATAAGTCAGTAAACATCACTAATCTGTAAATAAGTCAGTAAACATCACTAATCTGTAAATAAGTCAGTAAACATCACTAATCTGTAAACAAGTCAGTAAAAATGTTAACGGTAAACTTAATCTCAATTTGTAAACAAGTCAGTTAACAGGTTAGCTGCATGATCTGTAAATAAGTCAGTAAACATGACTAATCTGTAAACAAGTCAGTAAACAGGTTACATGTAACGGTTAAAAGCGCAATCTGTTAACAGACAGTTAACATCTTAACAGTTTAAAGCACAATCTGTTAACAAGTCAGTAAACATGTCAACTGTTAAAAGCACGATCTGTTAACAAGTCAGTAAACAAAATAACGGTTTAAAGCACATTCAATCAACAAGTCGGTGTGCATGTTGATGGTTAAAAGCACAAAAATTGTGCTTCTAATCCTGTTACTGCGTTACTACATGTAATTTGTATATATCTTTTGCGTCTAACACCGTGAATACTTTACTGACTTGTTAACATATTGTGCTTTTAACCGTAAACATGTTTACTGGCTTTTTAACAGATTGTTCTTTCAACCAATAAAAATTTATTATATTAAATCAAAAAGCAAGATTTCATCATTTGAATCATCAACTCAAAATCCCGGATGACAAGAATCTTAACTATTTGTACTGGAATTCAAGACCGTAGAAAAATGAAAGTCTATATAAAAAGGCAATATGCAGGCCGCAAGTGTCGTAGTTCATGTCCTCCTCTCTTAAGTACTGAAAACTACCATCATGTATATTTCCCTTTTTGTGCTAGTCTTAAGAAAAGAAAAAAAGAAAAAAATCCCTGAAAATGTGTAAATTAACAGGCAAAGATTTAATGTGTGAGTATTTAAAAAAAGTATTTGGCATCAAAGACACTGACACACGAACATTCAGTCACACAGGTCAGATCACGTGATTCAGTTATATTCCAATTCAACCAATAAATGTCTATTTTTGGAAAGGATTGAACGTTGATAAAACTTTGTGAAAGGAACCCGGAAATGCTAACAAAGGATGGTGCAATATTGATTTTAGTGTGGTTTTCTCTTTTAATTTTAGCTTAATTTTTTTAAATGGAATGTGATCAATGCCATGTTTTACCGATCCTCTATCTAAATTAGTCAGTCGGAGTACGGCAAAGTTACTTTTGGAATGGGATGGGAATAGGACTTTTTAATTCGGATATTTCGCGTTCTACCCCGAACGCATTGCCGTTCTCAATCCTTCATGCTCAGTGCTATATCGTGAATATTAATGACTTGTTGTACAAAAAATTATTTCCTTGCTACAAGCAAAAGATCATGCATGATTCTATTTAATATTTGACGACTAGTTTTGTAGTAAAATGTGCAAGAAAGGGTGAAATTTGAACGACTTTTTTGAATTCCTCTCATTGACTTATTTTTAATAAATAAATTCGTTTCTTCATATATCACTTCAACTTAGGATTTCAAAAATGTATATTCTCTGCAGATACATGTAGTATCGATAAAAGCAATTGTTCTCATTAAGAAAAATTCGCTTCAACGAAACATGTCAAATGAGAAAAATTATCCAAAAAAAAAAATCAGAATGCACTTGCAATAAGCGACAAAGAATTCATAAATACAATATTTTAAAAAAAGGAGGTGTGAATGTTGGAATTTCTTTGTTTGTAAATATAAAAACTATCACTTGCATGAACTTGTAAGTTGTAAGAACTTGTTTCTGATCCTTTTGTGTTTTATAATAAAATATGTTCAAATCAAAAACTATCACAAGATATGATTGTATAAGAACTTTGTCAAGTTAGTTTGCAGAATCCAAAGCTCCCGAACCTTGGCTGTAAATGTATTGATCACCGTATTCTTGTAATGGGGTAATAATTAAAAAAAAAATACAACAACAGAAATTGAAAAAGAAAACATTAATTTAAAATATAATTCTATAACTAGGCTACAGCCTCTGTCGTTTAGGATAGGGGTGTGAGGTTGAAGGCATTCTTGTTTTATTTATTGACTAGTCAATAAATACTTGGAATTTTTATATAATTTTTTTATTTTCATACATCTGCACATGAATTGTGACAAACGAGGAAACGCACAAATGTATGATCTTAAATCTAAGTGTTTTCTCTTGGCTGAAATATACCCAACGTAAGCTATCAAATATACAAAGGAGCGCATTATTTCTCCAATGATTCTAAATGAGGAGTCAATTTGTATATTCATGATATTCTACTTTAAATTTCCTTTTTGTGGCCACACCTACATTAATCCTTCTAGCTATCGATATATTGTATCATAAAACAGGACTGATATCGCGTTCATAAGCGCTGCCTGATTACATTTCAGCGACGTTTTAAGCACATCTTCTATAAATACAGAGTTAGTATAATCACCATTAAAATGTCCTTGATAGATAAACAGCTCTCATCACTTAGCTGTAATAATCATATTATACAAGTCGAAACACAGAAGATTCAAGCGGTGTTTAAAAATGGGAACGGGATTAGGTGATTGAAAAGAAAACAAATGTTAACGTTGTCTGCTTCATATACATCTGTCTGCAGAGAAATAAATGGGGATAACAAAAACATTGAGTGCATGAGAGGCTTTGAGTTATATATATACAGTTAGGTGGTATCATAATAAAAAGAACGAAGCAATCTTGCTCTTGCTTCATTATAAACAAATGCAGTGACGCAAATTGAAAATTACCTACAGATAACTCGATAAGATTAACACAGATTAGACATATCGATGTATTTTGTTGAGTGTTTTATTCATCCACCTATTCAAGATGCAACAGTTTTTCTTGAATTAATTATTTTAGTTTTTCAAACAAAACCATATGGTCATGGACGGATCTATAGGGAGTGGGTGGGGTGGGTCCGGACCCCCCCCCTCCCCACGTGGAATTTTTAGGGTGTTAAATGTACAAGTCACGTATACAGGTATATACTTAACCAACTAGAAGTGACCGCGTACCCCCCCCCCCCACCCCCTCACCAACCTGCATCTGTGTGAGGATTTGGTATGAAAAGTCCTATATGTATGATGCTTCAGAATACCCTACCCCCAACGAAATAGGTTTTTCCGGTTTGGAAAAGGATTTTTATTTTTTTTTGTATTCTTTTTTTACTTGTCAAGAAATTTTTGTTTGGATTTTTTTTAATTTAGGTGGACCCCCCCCCCCCGGAAAAAATGCTGGATCCGCGCCTGATGATATACTTGTTTTCTTCAAAGTTTGGGGTTTTAACATTTATTAATAAGAGTTAAAATGAATTGTCAAGTATTTAGCAACTTCTTTCAAAATGTTGTAAGGGAGAGAGAGAAAGAGAGAGGTTGAACTTAATATTCTAAGAATCATTTATGTGCGATTATTCGCTTTGAACTAAAATAGCTTTATCGACAAAATCTGTCAATATTGGGTTAGAGTTTACATATTTCCTCTAAGGGAAAGTGCCGTCATAAATGAGATATTGATTTGTTGCAAACTCACATAAATTGATAAAACACATTTAACGAAAGTCCCATTTCGCATAATTCGCATGCATCCTCTTATAACTATCCATATGGTCAAATCTCATTTTAAATGATAATAACATGTTTAATTTTCAGGCAAAGAAAAGTGTTTATCACCCTGGCATTGCCCGTGAGTCCCTAAAAAGCCCGTGCTCTGGACCCGCTAGAGCCGGGGTGGCCCTAGCAGTTTTTACCGGCCGCCAGGAGGCGGTCGGTTATATGATTTGAAAGTTTTAAGTCACCGTGCGTTTCTGCGGAGTTAGAACAATTTGAATAAAAAATATTTAACATTCATGTAATAGATTATTAAGAAAGAGTGTCTAAATGTAAAATAAAAACGCATAATAATCATAAAATTAAAATTTTATGAATAATGGGTTAAATGTTTCATCCAATCCTGATTGACAAACTCCGACGTAACTGAAGTGCGGAGAAATAAGCACATATGTTGGGCATAGTCTAAAGCAAGGACCGCGTTATATACATGTCTAAACAAACTTTACTTTCTCTACTTCAACAGGATTTGTTGTATATATAATTTAAATTGACGAGTAAATATAAATATATATTGTACTTTTAATACGGAAATTTTTCAAAAATATGACTTAATCTTAATTTATTATCAGACAGAATATTAGGAGATTTAACTCCAACAGACAAGGATAAAGCGCGTTTTACAACATGCCAAACCTTTTCCCGCCACATCTCACACCAAAACAAGATAGAGAAGAAATGTACTGGCGGATCTAGAGGGAGTTGGGGGTTTCAACATCCTCTGAGCGAGCGAGGAGCCCCACATAGTCGAAAACTTGTTACGTTTTATTTAATGTTAAACTGTCTCTAGTTAGATAAGTTTAAACGTTAGTTTTAATGGTTAAGTGTTAAAACTACTTAAATATCAAACTTCCGCGAGAGTTCGTTTATAAACTTACTGAGTGCGGGGACACAGAGGGCTATGAGTAAGTTGCTTAAATACATTTTACATGTATTATGTACTGAAGAAAATCATGGGATGTCGCATTCAAATGTTTAATGTCACAGGGATATATATTAATTAACAAATAAATAAAAGAATTCAGTTTCTAATTGATTGTATGAAAGAATTAATTGGTTTGCGGCCGATTTTTGACGCTTGCGTCAATATGTTTCTTGTTATCTATTGTGCTACATGTAACTGTTCATTGTTCAGTGGGGATGAATTTATAATAAA